TGGGGGACTGCGGGTAGAGGTTGGGGGGCGGGGTGGGGGGCTGCGGGACGGGATTGGGGGATGTGGGTAGTGGATTGAGGATGGGGTGAGGGCTGCGGGTTGGCAGGCAGTGGGGGACTGCGGGTAGGGGGTGGGGGCTGCGAGTTGGTGGGCAGGGGTGGGGTGCTGTGGGGGGCTGCGGGGTGGGGTTGGGGGGCAGGGGCAGCCCTGGGGGTGGGTATTGGCAGGATGGAGACGGGCAGCGCCTGAGCAGGACCCTCTCTCCCGTGTCTGCAGAGCGGAGGTGGGAACCATCTTTGCCCTGAGCTGGCTCATCACGTGGTACGGCCACGTCCTCACCAGCTTCCCCCACATCCTGCGCCTCTACGACTTCTTCCTGGCCTCGCACCCGCTCATGCCTGTCTACTTTGCTGCCGTGGTACGTCCGACTGTAGTCCTCAGCCCCGGCGCCCAGCCCCCCGCGGAGTGGTGCCCCCAGCCCCGGCCTGCTTGGGGAGCAAGGGGAGTGGAATTGGGAGGGAGCCCTGTCCCCTTGCACCCCGCTTCCATGGGGGGCTTAGCAGGGGAAGGTGACCGGCCGCCAGCCTGCCTCCATCGCTTCCAAAGGCAGAAGGGCCCATTGTCCCTCGAACACAGGCCGGCGAGCACAGCTCTGTCCCCTGGCCCATCTCACAAGCTAAGCCCACTGGGACGGGTCAGCAGCTGGCTGGGAGAGCTCTGAGTTGCTGGAGGGTGGGGGGGGGTGACTCAGAGGGGGAGCCAGCCCAGTGCGGTGCCAGGTCCTGTGCCTCTAGTCCGGGCCATTGATGATCCTCTGGCAGTTTTAGTCAGTCGAGTTGTTTAACCTGGAGTCCCAGCCCAACTCCCAGGAGGGTGACTGTGTTCTGTGGCTCCCAGCTGGTCACGGGGTTCTCTTTTACTGCCTGTCTCAAGCTGGTGTGTGCTGTCCCTGTTCACTGTTTAACAGCTGCTGTGCTCCACCCCAGAGGTGGCTGTTTTGTCAGTGGCGTGGTAAGGTGATGGACTGTGAACCATGTGACGGGGGCGTGGCAGGGGCAGCCCAAGGAGAGCCCTTGTCGGGGCTGGGAGATGTGGGTTATTGCAAAGGCTCCAGCCCCGTGGCCGTGCTGGGAAGCCGCACGTGTCCCATGGGACAATGACGCGCTCTCCCTGCAGATCGTCCTGCACCGGGAGGAGGAGGTGCTGGCGTGTGACTGCGACATGCCCAGCGTCCACCAGCTTCTGTCCCAAATCCCCCAGAACCTTCCGTACGAGAGCCTCATCTCCCGGGCCCTCCGGCTCTTCCAGCGTCACCCGCATGCCGAGCTGGCCAAGCAGGCGGCTCTGCACCACCACAAGAGGTGAAGGAGGACAGGGCTGCGGGGGGAGGGGGAGGCGAATTGCGGCTGGGTGTGCACCCGGCCCCCAGTGGTCTCCCAGGCGTGGGGTTGCCCGGGACCCTGGCAGGAGTGTCTGGTTAAAGGTGCAGCTCTTCCCTTCCATTGCTCATGTAGCTGCTGCAGGTCTGGCCCCTCCCCGGGCCCCTCCCCGACCATCCCCACTGCCAGGGGCCCGGGTTCCCAAACTCCTTGTCGATTTCCCTCTGCCCTTGGAGCAGCGAGAAAACCAGGCGGTCTGGCCGAGCTCTCAGGCATGCTGGCAGCTGCAGCAGGTGGAGCATGGGGGGACTGGGCACCCCTCTTAGCTCGTGGTGTCTGGCAGGCCGGCGGTGAGCCAGCCCCCCGCATGCAGCCCTGGGGCTGAGAGGCTCCCAGACCGCGGCACAGGCTGGTACTGCCAGAGCTGAAGGGCCCTGGCTGCGGGAGGACTGGCACGAATGGCTTTTCTGTGGGTCTCCGGCCCCTAGGCGGCGACGTAATGGCGGACATTGGAGCCGGTCCGATTCCCTCCCATCCAGGGTGTTCAGCTCGGCAGAGCCGAGGGCTGCCCTGGCCAACAGCCAGAAGCCGGGGGGTTGCGCTCAGAGATGCCCCCCTGCCTTCTCTTAATGTGGCAGTGCAGCCGAGGAGGACGGGTCTCCCCCTGCAGCGCGGCCTGGCCAGCCAGGAAGAGAGCTGCATGCTGGGACCTGTGCAGGCTGCGCATCTCGGCATTAGGTGGGGAGCGCCCTGGCCAGCCCCGCATGTCACCCTGCGCTAACCGGCTCCCTCCCCGTCTCTTCCCAGCATCTCCATCGGCTCCTTCACTGCCTTCCAGCTGGCCACGTCCCACCAGCGCCCGGACGCCGTGCTGCGCAGACAGCGGCAGCAGGACAGCGCCCACGCCGAAGCCACTGCTCTCCTGCCCACGGCCGGGCACAGCCCGCTGGTGAAAGCAGCCGTGTGGGGGATTTCAGCCACGCTGGGGGCAGCGGCTCTGGCCGTCACGCACACTGCCCTGGAGTGGGCACCGGAGTTCTTACTGCAGCTCTTCTAGCACCCGGCAAGCCAGCCAAGACCCTGCGGCCGGCGCGGGCCACGGAGCCGCGGGCCTCGTGCTTCCTCCCACTTAATTTATTGGACAGTCAAAGGCTGGGCAGCCGAGCTCAGAGCGGCCAGTAGCCAAAGCACCGCCACAGTGGCACCGAACTGGGACAGGCCTTTCCTGCTGCTGCCTGAGCCATTCGTGGCCTGGAGGGGGCAGGGCTGGGCTTACACCCCGGGCGGGAGCCGGGACTCGAACGCTGGCTCTCTCCCATGGCTGGGGCAGGCCGCGCCCCGGCTCTCAGGTGGAAGCGTAGAATGGTGACCGCGGGGCGCTTTCAGGGGAACAGAGCACTAATCCCCAGCCCCCCTGATGGCCCCAGAGAGCTTTCCTAGGTCCCTTTCCCCAGCCTCTGCCCTGTGGGGCTGTGCTTCTGCAGGCCGTCCTGCTGCAGCGGGGGTAGGTGTTTGCTAAGCACCAGCTGCCTGCGTGTTTGTGCACAGGACACAGGAAGAGAGCTGCCCCCACCCGGAGGGGCCAGGCAGGATGGTGTGAGCGGCTGGGGGCTCCGCGGGAAGCGCTGTCCCAGCAGAGTGGCGGGGGGGGGGGGGGGGGGTGCTGCAGGCCGGGGCAGCGTGCCAGGAATGGCGGAAGGCAGGGATCACTGGAGTGAGGGCGCACAGGCTGCAGGCATGAGCAGAGCCTGGAAAGCAGTGAGGAAGGGCGCCATGCAGGCTGCACCAGGGGAGAGAGGCCTCGCCTACATCGCTGCTTCTCTCCTGCCTGCGTAGCACCCAGGGTCCTCCTGGCATCTCCTCTGTGCCCACCCTCCTCGGCCCTGCCAGCCCGGCCCCTCAGCCCAGGATGGAGAGACACCAGGCCCAGAGTCTGGGACAGGCCCTTTTCTCAGGGCTTCAACTTTATTTCTTCCACGTAAAGCCAGGGCAGCACATCAGCCGTCCCTTCCCCCAGCGCCGGGAAAGCAGCCAGTGGCGCCTGCCTCCCCCTGCGAGTCCCAAGAGGTGGCAGCAGCAAGTGGGGTTGGCTGGGCTCCCCCCGCTGCAGGGCGGGCAGGCTGCTGCCTGGGAAAGGCACAGCCCCCGGAGCACTGGGTACGGGTGTGAATAAAGTGCATGAGCCTGGCCCCCTGTGTCTCACTGGCTGGGGGGAAGGGGGGTTGAGGGAAGCAGTTCCAATGGTTAGAGCAGGGGGTGAGGGTGCGGGAGGGCTGGGTTCTGCTGTCTCATGGCCTCTGCGGCTGGGCAGAGCCAGAGAGAGGCCAGCGTCTGTGGGTGCTTGGGTTAGAGGAGCGCAGTGTGAGCCCCCCAGGGTCGATTTCCTGGGGGTTGAGCAACACCCCCACCCGCCGGTGCAGTCAAAGGCAGCTTTGGGTTCCTGGCACTGACAGGGCCGAGTTGCCTGCCTCCCGGGAGCTGCCCCTGGGTGGGCAAGGAAGAGCTGGGCTCGGGGACGGGCGCCAAGTGGCTGGCTGGCTGGCTGGGGTGGATACAGTCCCTGCTGGCTGAAGCTCACTGCTTCTCCCGTGGCGTTTTGGGTGGAGTTGTGAAGCCAGGCCCTGCGTGGTGCTGGATCATGATGGGGTTGTGGTGCTCGGTGCCTGGAGAGCCTGTGCCACTGGTGTAGGGTACTTCACCGGCACCCCTGGGGGTCGGCCCGAAGCAGCTGTCACCGTTCCACCACTGCAGCCCCTCCTGCACCAGCCTCACCAGGGAAACGAGGGGCTTCCTGGGCTGGACTGATCCTGTTGGAGCTGCGCTGGAAGCCCCACCCCACCCACGCAGGAACTTTCCTAGCCCCGGCCAGGATGGCTGTAACGGTGCTCAGGCAGGCCGGAGCTCGCCTGCCCCCCAGCACTGCCTGCGAGGCCCAGCCCTGTGCGCTGCTCCCCCCACCTGCCCCTCACCATCCTGGTGCCTGCTGGGGAGGAGCGAGGCAGGGCAGACAGCTCGGCTCATGACCGCCCCGAGCAGGGCTGGAGCACTGTGGGAGCAGGGGGTCTCAGCACCCAATGGGACACAGCTGTGCCAGGGGAGCGTTTGCACTGGTCCTGGCAGGGGTCGCTGTGGGTGCAGCTGGAAGGAGGAGGGTGGGGTGTTTGCATGGCCAGTGAGGGGTGGGGACGAGGCTGTAGCCATCTCACAATCCTGCCTTGACGGGAGCTGTGGTGCCTGGGCCTTTCCAGCCCCCAGTAACCCCCTCCCCCCCAGGCTGGCCGCACAGAGGTCTCACTGGTGCTGCCCCCTTCTGCCGGGGTGGTGTCTGGTAACAGCTGTAAGCCTCTTTCCTGCATCCCGCACCCAAAGCCCCACAGGCTCTCGGCCCCCCGCTTGCAAGGACCTGGCGCAGACAATGGCCACCGCCGTTACCATAGATACCGAGAGGCCAAGGCCAGAAGGGCCCGTGGTGATCATCTCCTCCGGCCTTGTGACCCAGATCACGCTGTGTCAGTGACCGGTCCGCTTCCCTATTTCCCACTCCCTCCATTTCTGTGTCAGCTGCAAACTTTATCAGGGATGATTTTATGTTTTCTTCCAGCTCATTGAGAAAAATGTTAGTGTAGGGCCAAAACTGATCCCTGTGGGACCCCACTAGAAACCCACCTGCTCAAGGATGAGTCCCCATTTATAATTACCTGTTGGGACCTATCAGTTAGGCAGCTTTTAATCCATTCAATGTGTACCAAGTTCAATTTGATATCATTCTAGTTTTATAATCAAAATGTCAGGAGGTATCAAATCAAGTGCCCAAAAGTCTATGTATGTTGCATCAACACTATTACCTTTTTCAACCAAATTTATAATCTCATCAAAAAAATATCAAGTTAGTTTGACAGGATCTATTTTCCATAAACCCAGGTTGATTGGCATTAATTATATCACCCTCCTTTAATTCTTTATTAATTAAGTACTGTATCAGCTGCTCCACTATCTTCCCTGGGATAGATGTCAGATTGACAGGCCTCTAATTACCCTGGTCATCCCGTTTACCCTTTTTAAATACTGGTGTAACATCAGCTTTATTCTAGTCTTCTGGAACTTGCCTGGTCTTCTAAAACACTGAAAATCAACATTAATGGTGCGGGGAGCACCTCAGCCAGCTCTTTTCAAACTCTTGTATGCACGTTACCTGCGGATTTTTAATTGTCTGACTTTAGCAGCTGCTGTCCAGCATCCTCCTGAGAGACTAGTAGACTGGAAAGAGCGTTATATGGGATGACTACATCTTTTTTTGACAGAACAAAAATATTTATTGAACTTTTCGGCATTATTATTGATAAAGTCTCCAATTTCCATCTAGTAATGAATGGACTATTCTTTTTGTTCCTAATATACTCCTCCTTATTGTCCTGAATTCTGCTGGCCATAGATTTCTCCTTGTGTCCGTGTGCTTCCCTTATTAATGTTCTCTAATTCCTAATAATGTTCTAGTTTCTGATTTATAGTCACTATTATCAACTTCCCCTTCCTGTGCTTTGTTACATATTTTCTAGCTGCTGTTACTTTCCCTCTCAACCAGGGTTTTTTTTTTAACCAATATGGCCGCCTTCTTTGAGACCCTTGTTGACGTTTCAGCTAAGAGGCCAAGGTCTGAATGGATACACAGGGACTGAGCCCGCCCCCCACCTCCTCTTATTGTTGTTGGAGAGGTCTGGATTGACAGCTGTGGATACCCTCAATGTGCCTTTACAGAGTGGAAAAGCTGCTAGTTAATTTCATAGACACATAGACTATCAGGGTTGGAAGGGACCTCAGGAGGTTTGTGCCTTTGCTGGGGCGTGAGGCCTTTAGGACTTTCTGCTCCTTTTTGACTGCACTAAGTCCACTTTACAAGAAACAAGCGCATTAAGAATGGAGAAAATAAAATCAAGGGGTTTTGTTTTGTTTTAAATAATTGATTTGAACTGGCCGCCCTTATGGGTCCCATTAAAATTCCATTAGTGTTGTGTAAGAGATGTGATCATTTCTGGAAACTTTAAAAGAATTTCCACCCCTTGCCCTGTGCTAGACACTTAGCAGCTAGGTAATAATGCTCTGAGCACTGCATGTACCCTGGTCAGTGTGGGGATGGGAGTACACACTGGGCTAGTGAAATATTTATTTATATGCCTATAATGCTCCAATTCAGGGGGGTCTTGACAGGCAGGTGACAGCGGCTTCCTAGATAAACACACACACACACACACAAGACTTTCTGGTGCCAGTCCAAAGTGACACAGTTGTTTTGCCAGGCTGGGAGGCAAACCACATCTGCACGCAGTGTTCAAAGTGTGGGCGTACCATGGATTTATATAGAGGTAATATGATATTTTCTGTCTTATTATCTGTCCCTTTCTTAATGATGCCTAACATTCTGTTACCTTGTTTGACTGCCGCTGCACATTGAGTGGATGTTTTTAGAGAACTATCCACAATGACTCCAAGATCTTTCTTGAGTGGTAATAGCTAATTTAGACCCCATCATTTTATATGTATAGTTGGGATTATGTTTTCCAATGTGCATTACTTTGCATTTATCAACATTGAATTTCATCTACCATTATGTTGCCCAGTCACCCAGTTTTGTGAGATCCTTTTGTAGGTCTTTGTAATGAGTGAAACTGGTCAAGCAGTTCATTGTAATTGACATTTATTGAGGATATTTTGTCTATCACTTATTTGTAAATTCATTTTTTTGGTTATTCATCCAGCTCTGTGTGTCAGTCCATCTTCACATTAGACACCCGAGGGCATGTCTACACTACAAAATTCAATTGCCCTCGCTTAGGCTGGCGTACAGCCACCGCAGTAATTACCTCGCTTGTGTGCGTGTCTACATTTTGTTCCTTGTGTCGATGGTGCATGTCCTCACCGGGAGCACTTGCACTGGTGGAACTGTGATTATTCCCCTCTGTTCGGCACTGGTGAGGCCATACCTGGAGTATTGTGTCCAGTTTGGGGCCCCCCACTACAGAAGGGATGTGAACACATTGGAGAGAGTCCAGCGGAGGGCAATGAAAATGATCAGGGGGCTGGAGCACATGACTTAGTTCTGGC